GTTCCATATGGCAAAGAAGTCACTTGAGTCATTGAGGAATGAGTGAAATTCAAACATATGTGTTAGATGCAGCTCTGCCCTCCTATTGGTTAAAATAGTAAACCCATTTAAAAATATGTAAACCATTCTGAACAGACAGTGAAACAAAGGGGATAAACACACTGTAAATAAGTGCATGAAAAAATGATCACCATCACAAATTCTTAGGGAAAAGGAATGAAATGAAAGAGGGCTAACATTATACTCATTCCAGGGATTGTATTTCAAACAACTGACCATTGTGATTGCTCTCAGGGCTGTGGAAGCACTGGGATTTTCTTTACTGTGGGTGCTGGGAAGGCAAAAAGAATTGCCATTTTAGACTACAGTTCCGCATCTCTTAAAATGTAAAACATTCACTTACTGCAACAGTTTGAAAAGGAAAACATATAACTACTTGAGGCCCAGTGCACAAAAATTTGTGCACTCAGTGTGGGGGGGTCCCTCAGCCCAGCCTGTGCCCATTTGCAGTCCAGGACCCCTTGGGGGATGTCCACCTGTTGACTTAGGCCCACTTCCCGGGGGATCAGGCCTAAGCTTGCAGTCAGACGTCCTTCTGGCAGCCAGGGAGTCCTCAGGGGATGTCTGATTAAAGGCTTAGGCCCCCAAAGGATCAGGTCTAAACTGTGAGCTGGACATTCTTAGTGCTGCCACCGAGGTGGGAGAGGCTCCTGCCACCAACTCTGCACTGGCCAGCCATGAGTCAGCTTTTGGCTGAGTGGCACTATTCCTTGGTCTGACCTAAACCCTAGAGATTAATACTTCATTTTACAACTTTTTCTCAATTTATAGGCAGCAGCAAACTCAGGCCACACAGTTGGGTATGCAAGAAATGTTGCTTTCTTCATTGTTTAGTAACCAAACCTAACTACAACTTCAGCCCCATTCTGCTAAGTGAAAAAAACAAAAACAAAATATTAGTTAACTTAGGTTCCCCATCCCCTTCTCTGAAGTTGTACTTCCATGTCAGACAGTTTATATCTCAGGCAGAGGTGCCAAAGAACCGAGCAGGGTCAAGGACATCTGGACCTCAATCTTCTGTCTGGGCTGGCCCCCACCCAGCTGTCCTTGACCCTCACCTCAGAGCTCAAGTCCATGCTGATCCCTGGTATATTCTCCTCATCTGGGCCTTGAGGCCTCTTGAGTCCAATTCACTCTCTCCCTCCCTCCCTGTCACCTTCTCTCTCTCACACAAAGAGGTATTGGGCTTTCTGGGGTGAGGTCCTCTGACACCTC